GAGTAGTTAGGGTTACCTCTGCTGTCCTTTCCTTGATATTCTCTGGGCCAAATATGCCACACAGTCATCTAATTCATATTTTTTAGAGAATTCTTACTTTTGTGAATGGCGTCGTGTTCTCTCCATTGATACTTATTCAATGCTATTAAAAAACTAGGAATTATTTCTAATAAGTTAAAACTAACTTAATAATTTTCTATACTTTGAAAAAAACAGTTAAAAGTAGAAAAGGTGAGATTTTCATTTTGTGCTGTCATTGATTTTTCTTTATTAATGAAAAGAATATGATCACTAAAAAAAAAAGGGTTAATTGATATTTTTAAAATACTGGACTGTGACAAATATTAAACCTTCTCAGTCCTTGAGAGCTCTAAATATGTATTTAGGGCACTACCACTCTGTGTCTAATTTTGACAAGAGAATTTTTTTTAGTTTATTTACTAATAATACATTTTTTCCCCACTTCCCTTTTTCCCCCTTACTATGTTGATGTTTCCATTTTTAGGGCTGTAGTAAGAACTCGGAAGGCCAGCATTCTCTGAAGCACTTCCAGACAGCACGCACAGAGCCTCACTGCATTGTTATCAACCTCAGCACGTGGATCATATGGTGAGAATCGGCATGCGGGTGTTCGTGTGTGCCCCTACAGAAGGGATACTCCTCACATAAAGTAGTGTCTTCTCATGGTAAAGGATGATTCTGACAGATGAGAGGAATACTTCATGTGGAGGAAAGGCAGGCTTTCTGGAGGGAAAATGAGTTTGTTCTTCCTGCTTGTTTCTATATGTTTATATGCAGGACTGTAAACTGAGATTATTTTAATCTGTAAGTATTGCAGTGAACTTGGGCTGATCTATAGAAGAGCATATGGGATGAGAGAATTCAATTGTATGCCTGTTTTTAGTATGAAAAATTGAAGCATAGAGTGTAAGTGATTTGTTTAAGGTTGTTTGAGGGATTTGTTAGATCTGAGAAGTGCATCCAGACGTCCTGAAGTCAGGTTCATTTCTTCTTTTGTTTAGGTGTTATGAATGTGATGAAGAGCTGTCAACACATTGCAACAAAAAGGTTTTGGCTCAGATAGTTGACTTTCTTCAAAAACATGGTTCCAGGGCTGAACCAAGTAAGTTGACACAAATAGTTCTATCTGGAGACGTTTGTAACATGCTATCTCTAAAAACGAGCTTTTCAGATTTTGAGTCATGTTAAACATAGAATTGAAAAATGATGTATGATGCAAGTATAATGCCATTTGTAATTGCACAATTATTTGGGCAAGGAATGCCTGTCAAAACATAATGACATTTTTTTTTCCTCAGTATCATTACATTTTAAAAATATTTTGGGCACTGTAGGACAGTTTTTCCAAATTCTCTCTTTAGTAAAGAATGTTTATTGTAGAGAAGATATTACCTTAAATAAGATGCCATGTAAGTTAATGCACAAAAACTATATAGAAGCATAAATTAATTTAATTTTCCTAGTGTGGATATGTCACATCTTAAACAAATCTAATTAACTGTGGAAAACAAATTTAAATCAGAATAGTGTTAAGTGGATTTTGTAATACTCTGTTGTTGCATGTGGTGCTTTCAGTTCATCTCTGTTACTGGATTTTAACTGTTAGAATGCTCATTTCTGTTAACAGAAAATAATATAATTTTTTTACGATAGGAGCCTGCTGTATCTTCTCAATATATATAATAGTAGATAAAGCTTTGTATGTGTGGCCCTCAACTGTCTGCTCTTGAAAATGTTGATGTTACTCTCCCCTACTCTCAACACCCTTGGCAGCATTTTTGGCTTTTCACTTAGAGAGTACATTGGATTTCAGATTTCCTTTGTAAAACACAGCTTAAGTAAATTTTAAAAACAATTTAAAGCAGAGATAATCAGCTAGTTAGAAGTAAGAGTGAGGGAGGATTGCCTTGCTGAATTAGACTAGGTATTCCTTTAGCTGCATGTGCATATATCCTACTTATTTTGAGATGTGTTACATATTTTTTGAGGAGAAAAAAAATGAGCCACTCATAAATACGTATTTTATATTTTGATCCATTCGGGAGTTGTATGTTAAGTTATTCAGTTGTAAGAAATTGATAAATAGCTACTTTTTGCATCTTTTCTCTTGGAGGAATGAAAATAACAGTATGTGATTTCACTTCCCTTCACAGCTTCAGTTTCAGATTTATGTGTAATAAATGAGTGTTGCAGCTTGCTTGCAGATGGGAATGCTGTAGTGTTTCACTTAATTTAGTGGAAACAATGTAATTCTCTTTTTGTACTGCTGGGTAAGACTTTCTGAGTCATGCAATTCTGCTTCATGGTTTAGATTCTTAATTTGTGAAACTTCGAAACATCTAAAGTTTTCAGAGTATGGTGCTTTGAAGTTTTCTGTGAAATTTCTTAATTTAAGCAACTGAAATTCCAAACTAATGCTGGAAAAGTAAGCTTAAATTAGGCTAAGGATTTCCAGGTGTTTACAGCACAGGAAGGCCAAATATTTTTCTGCTGTATGTGTATTTGTATTCATTTTGATACTGTGTTTTGAAAATGCATATATTTAATTTAAGCAGTTGCCTAACTGTAAACTCTTCTGTAACTGGAAACAAAATTGTGTTGATTTTAGGGCATAAACATTTTTTTTCTCCTTTTTTTTCTCCCCATGTTTTATTTAAACCATTTTTCCATTTGATTTCTGAAATCAGGTGTTGAAATGAAAAAGTAGCTGTCATCCAGCTTCAGTTTGTGGTGGTGCATTTTGTGGTAGCAGTGCACTGGTCTGACCCTGCTTGCTTTGGTGCCTTGGAAGAGGGGGTTCACAGCAGTGATGTAGAAGGCAGAGTCGGGTGCCAGTGGTGATGTCAGGCAAGAGGTGGTGTGGGGAGTGTGAGGGTCCTCCTGCAGGGCAGTGGGAGGTGCAGGACAGACAGACTTCCCTGCTCTCCCAGTGTCTGGGACCGTGTTCCGGGTCTGCACAGTTATGCTTCACCCTTCAGATTCAGGCACGTGCCTGGTTTTGAGCATGCCAGTGACACGCGGGTGTCCTTCAGAGCTGCAGAAGTCATGTGCAAGCCTGGCAGCGTGGCCACCTTGGCAGTAAGAGGCCTCAGGGCAGCTGTGTCTCCTGCTCCATGCTGGGAGAGGGCTGAGGCTCAAGCTCAAGCTTGTTTGTGGACTTCCAGTAGTGTTTGAAAGGTGGACGTCTGTGACCCTCCCCACCTGGCAGAGTGCGGCTGTGCTGAGCAGTTAGGATCTTGTTCTTCAGAGCTCGGGGAACGTTGTCCCAGAGATGATTTGTTAGGTTTTTTTAAGTGGCAAGGAAGAGAGGAAAAAGCTGTTTGCCTGGCGTGGCCTGTGGCTTTGGGACAGGCTCCTCGCTGGCAGAGGCTGGGAAGCAGCTGTGCATTGGTGAACAAGTGGCACGCGTGAAAGGCAGCTCCCAGCAGAGCTGCCATTCCTGTTTTACTGGGATGAATGTAGCAGCAACGTCTTTTAGGTCAAATACTTGGGCTGACACGCTTGGTACTTCCTCTGAAGAAATGTAACTTAAGAAAGACTTTTTATTTTCTTAAAATTAAACTGCCTTTAAGGATTTTTTAGAAATCTGAAATCAAAATGTAGTTCATGGTGTTGCCTAGAACACAAAGAACATGAAGTATAACACTGAAAATTAACTCTACTATTGATAACTTACCTTTTTGGTTGTTCTTTTTTTTTTTTTTTTTTTTAAAGTGTAGCATTTTATTTTATGTTACAGTGATATTTTCAGTGTAACTGTCATCTTTTAAATTATTAATTGGCTCAGGTTTTTAAAGTTTATTTTGTATATTAGGCCACTAACACATAAACTGATTTTAAATAAATGAGAAATAACTTGTGAGAAACAAGTAGCGTAAAACTGATGATTAATAATTTGTATTTCTCACTTAAAAGTCAAACTTGTTCTTTTTTTTCCCCATTGCATTTTGTTTGTTTGTTTCTTTCTTAAAATAGCAGCCAAAATGAAGTCACTTAATTTTCATATCAGAATGTGGCACTGTAAAAACAATTCATCTTATGTCTGGATTTCTTTCTGTTGTAACGATTGGTTGGCATGGTGCATCATTAGAATTCAAATAGTGTTGTGCAGAAATTTCTGCAAAAACACACTGTGAACATGGATACAAGTAACAGATAAGGGCTGCTAGATATTTTTCTGTTCTCAGAAGTGCAGCAGTCATTTGAAGATAAAATAATCGGCCTAAACATGTAGAGGGAGGGTTATATAGATTTCCTAATTAATGCATCGTGGAAAATAAACAAAAGCAAAATGCTTGTCATTTGGTACTAATGTGGTGGAATAGTGTGGCAGCAGGATCCCTGCTTTTCACTTGGCCTCTCATAAAGATTCAACTTCACTTCAGCTGTAAAAATGTGCAAATTACATTACTACTACATGACTGACTTTTGTAATTACATTAAGCGATTGAGATAAATCCCAGTGCTGGGTTCCCAAAAGAATGCTTGCAGCTGTGTGATTTTCGCATCTGATCCTATGGTTTGTTGTACCCAGCAATGCCTGCTTTTCCCCTTGCCCTCTCCCACCCTGGCCTTGTATTTTTTTTTTTTCAGAAGAGTCTGTTTGGTTAAGAGGTCATGTTGGGCACAAGATGGAAGAATAAAGCAAGATTGCTTTCTAGGGTGTACCACCCAGAAATCTGTTTTGTGGAAAGGGTTAGCAGGCCATGATGATTTTCACAGAAAGGCAGGTGCAGTATTGTCCGTGTGGCACACTTGTGAGCTTCACATGGACATAATGCACATGTAGTACACAGAAACCATGCTGAGACGTTGCAATCTGTGTGTCTGCTCATTTGCTGGAGAAAATAAATTGTTTTGCAGTCTTAAAAGTGAATATTACGCATATTTTCCTTTACAAAAGGCAAATTAGATGTTGGTGGAGACATAAGATTGGATACTCGGGTTTTCTTTGTAGAGCAGTAACTAAATTGATTTGTGTGGCGATAGAATAGGAAGGGAGAATATTTATTCTCAAATTTTGTAGGTAAATTTATTTTTGGGAAAGTCAAGCAGAGGAGTGAGATTTTGCTGAGAGGTTCAGCTGCCCAGATTTGTCGATAGGTGAAAGTTAGAAACGTGATTTCTCTTTTAGTGGATATAACTGATGTAAAACAAAGATTAAGAAGTGTATCGTTTTACAGTACAAGTAGTAGATCTTAACTTTATGGAAAACCAGATAGTATGGTGAATAACTTTTCAGATTTGCCTTTATCTGTGGATATTAGGAGTTGACAAAGGATATCACTGAAAAAAAGCCAAACCTGTGTACATTTCATAACTGATTTTCACTACATGTAGTTTGGAGCTTGAAGTCATGTAAGTCCATTTTATGTACTTAAAAATTAACTAGCAAAATAAAGCAGAATATGTTGATTGTCTAAATCTGAGATGCACTTCAGAACAAAGATACTTACATTGTTGGTTATAATTTTGCTTTGAAGTTTACTTACTCTTAAGGGCTACTGTTAATTACACACATTGCAAAGAAATGAAAACTGAATCATTGGCAAAAAAAATGTTTAGACATTCTGTCATTTTTATCCGTGGATTCTTCCATTTCCTGTCCACGTTCTTGTTTACTTGTTAGGTGTATCACAAGTTATCTGAGCGTAGAGGATCAAAACTGATGCTTGAATAACTTGCTCTTTCACACTGTGCAGACGTGCTTTTTGGTTTATAACATTCTGGCAGAGTCACAGAAATAAAATTGCAGTCTGCAATCTTTAATTTGGCAGGATTGTAACACTGCAAAGCTAGTGACCATTTCAGAGGAGAACTATGCTGTCTTTATAAGGGTTAGTTTCTCATTGTTATACAGTGTTGAAAAAAACCTAAATGTTTTAAGTAAAAAAGAAGTGCCAGACAATTTAGTAGCATTTTGTAATACAGCATGATGAGGACTTGGTAAAAGAAAGGCAGTCTATTAACCTTGCTTTTACTGTAAAGACCTTCAGCTGAAGTACCAGAGTTGTATTCAATAGAAAAGGCTTGACCTTGGAATAAAAGTGCACATAACTGGAACCTTCATTTTTAATTAAAAAAAAAAAAAGTTGCATTGAAAAGCTGAGCAAAAACACTTACTCCCCCGGCTGAAAGAGAACTTGGATGTCATTTTCGTTTCTCTTGTGCACCATCTGCACCCCCAGGCACAGCTCAGTTTCAGCAAGGACAGTACAGAAGTCCACGTGCGCTGCAAGTGTTTGAACTACTGGCAGAACAAATTGTGGGGGAACCTGCAGCAGGTTTTCCGAAGGTGGTTTGGGAGTAGCCGCGTCAGTGCTGCGCGCGTCGGTGCTGTGGGCCCGGCGGGGCCTCCGCCTCATGGAGCGACTCCGTGCCTGTGCTGAGTTAGGGATCTCGGTCGCCTACCCGTGAGGCCGGTGCTGTGCGGCTGTGGGACAAAACCATGCTCCCTGCCCCCAGGGAGCTCATGAGACAAGACTACAGGGGGGCAGAAGTGGGTAAAAAAACGGCTGAGAAGAGTGGCAAGAAAAAGGCACATTGCAGGCAAGAGCTGTAGGAGAGGTCTGTCCTGAGTTCCTGAGTGCTGTCCTCTTTCCTGTGGGTCTGCTGGGAAGGGAGGTTGGTTTGCTGGCACCGAGGAGAGCAGGGTGATGTTGGGAAGCTTTGCCAAGCACAAAGGCTGTCTGTGCACATATGCAGCTGTCTGAGAGATGAAGCAATGGGCACTGTAGGTGGACATCATGGTGGGACATGTGGCAGGCAGGACCTGCTGCTTGGGAAGAGACGGTCTGTAGGGTGTGACGAGTTGGACAGAGAGCTGGGCAATAGGCCTTGGCAGAGTGCTATGGTAGGGCCTCTGCGGCCAGATACGCGTCGTCAAGGGAAAAGGAGGTTGTGGTGATTAAGGCGCAGCCTGGGTGCAAGTTTTCTCTGCGTGGCTGTATCAGAAAGGCCACCTCTACAGCAAAACTGCAGAAGACGTCTGACAGAGAGGTCTGAATGTGTGAGCATGCTCCTAGCTTTGGGTTAATCTTGCAGAAGGACCCTCCAGCCCCAATCTGTAGAAGTATTAGCTATCACAGTCATTACCAGCATCTTCTGTTAAGACTGACTAACTCTTCACATGTCAACTCAACATTCAGCTTCAGGCCTGTCTGTCATTTATAACTGCACTGGGGACACTGAGCAGAATTAAACTAAAAACTGCTGTCCCTCCTCTGGTTCTGTGTATGTGCTCCACTCTGCATGTAGTAAGAGAAGCAGCAGATAATGTTTGTAATGGCAAAGCTTCGGCTTTCTGTCAAGACTTCTTAATGGGTACAAAAAATGTAGTAAGATGTCCTGTGGATTGTGTTTGTAAAATTATTAAAAAATCAAGAGGCAGTAATTAAAACCTTCTGAACGAGGTTACAACCTTAGAAACAAACCGTTCAGTAACAACATACAGGCCTTTTCTTAATTTACTCCTCCTCCTCTTTCTCCCTGTACTAATTATCCAGCTCTGTGGCAGTCGGGTGTCTGGTTCTCATTTATTGTGTTTTATAATTGCATATTCATCCAGCTCTTATCACAAAGCTGGATGCTTCGGCTTTGTGTTCCATCACTGAAATCATTTATATGTAAGGTTCAGCAAATGGAACCTTGCTACTTGTGTGAAGCTGCCATTTAACCATGAAGTGAAATGCTTTTATCGAGTTTGCCCTGCAGATACGGTCCGCTGTGGCAGTGCTGTCCATATTTGGTGGCTGTGCAAGGAGAGCCAGGTGGTGCTGCAAAGCATAGCACAGTGAAGCGTGGACAGATCTAGGTTTGACATTTGTCATCCTGTACTGCTAAAGGGAAGAGAAAAATCTGCTTTTCCATATGCTTATGCTTTAATTTTTGCCTGCAGTTTTGTCCAGATGGCCTTGTGAACATTGTTTACTTTGAGATGCTGTCCCAGATGTTTTTGAATGCCGATGGATAAATGCAACAACTGTGGTATACTAATACACAAATTATTTACACAATTTTGGCTTTTTTTTCCCCTCTCTTTTTTTTTTTTTTTTTTTTTTTTCCTTTTTTAACCGTCTCTTCTCCCCAGAACTACTCTGTATGGCACACTTTTCTGAGAAGTCTCCACCTATACTAATTAAATTTCTGAAAGTGAGCGGTGCCTTGGACTTGTAGACACTTGCAGGTCCCATTCTCCTGCTACAGTTCTTTTGGAGCTCTTCATGGGTGGGCAAGTCTCAGACACTGTAGCGTGCTGCTTGTAAGCATGTCCATTAGAAGGTGTTGCTGCCTGTAGCCCATCAGACAGTTGACTGTTTCCGGGTGTGAGCAGCTCCTAAGGTGTTTGTCGTTCGTTGCATTCAAAAACACTCTCTGCTTTTTCACGGAGAGCTTGGTCTTTTACTTTGCCCTTGTACTATCTTAATTTTCCACACGAGTGGAAAGGAGAATATTTTAAAGCTGTGTAGGCAGTATTACCAAGAACATTTAAAAATGCTTTTAAACAACAGAGAACCTCTAACTGTGTTTTGACAAACTCAGAGATAAAATTTGAACAAATAATTGTGTCTTGATGGCACTATAGGGTGCAGACAGACTGTGTCAGAAGATTGTGGCCAAATACACATTTAATTTTATTAATTACTTCCTTATTATTTAATTATATTTTTTCATCTTCTATCCAAGAAGCTACCTAGGAGCGTACATAAAAGAACCTTTTCGCATGAGCATTTCATTAATGTAAAGAGGTCTGTTAGTTATTTCTCAAGAACACTTTAATGAGACTTCAATGTGAAACTCATTAGAACAAATATATGAATTCATATGTCAAGGCAGAGATTTCAGCATCACAGTTCTTGGCATCTATTAAGTCCATAACTCGTTTACATTGACGTGCATTGTTAATCAATATTTAAGACACAGCAGATGTCAGTAATGTTCATATTTAGTCCTGCAACCATGACAATATGAAAGTTGCTAGTAGAATTTGAGGCTAAATATTCTTATCTCAAGTCTTTCCATTACCTCTAGGCTACAAGTTAATGACTGCTTAACTTTGCTGCCCCTCATCTATTTAAATAATAAGGAAAATAGAGAAACATGTGGATGTTATACTGGTAGCATATTCCATTGCAGCTTTATCAGATTTTTGTTGTTTGAAATTAAGGCACTAGCACTGTATGGTTTTGGGTTGTGTACACAATTCTTCAGGCTGTGACAAAGGGAGGTGGGTTGAGGAGCAAATACAGTGTTTGGGGAAACTGATAACAACTCCCATTCAGCTGTTGGCCAGGTTGTATGAGACAGTTCAAACAGATGATTGATAAAGACTTGCAACATTCAGGTGATACCTTTTGGTTACCCGTCTTCAAGTGCACCAAAAAGCAGCCTTTGTGTGGTGTTTCTAGTGTCTCTCAAGAACATACTGCCTATTGCTAATCAACTAACGGAGCTTGTTTTATTTATTGCTTGGGCAGTTGAAGAAGTTACAGTCCTAGGGCACAATATGATTATTGTGGAAGATTTTCTTGGATATATGTATTTGTTGGGGGGAATTTTTTCCCCAGGGATTTAACTGCTGACAGCTTTTTTTTTTTTAAAAAAAAAAAAAAAAGAGTTGTGTAAAGCAGCTTAGAGTATCAATATATCTTTCTGCATATGTTAAAAATTATAAATGTAACCCATGGAAGGACTGAATTGATCAAACTGTGCAATTATATAGTATTAATTTATAGTTTAATTGTAGGTTCATCAAAAATCATACGACTCCGTGAAGAAAACAGTGAAACAAGTGAAATACTGAAAGGAAAAAGTTCTGGTAATGGTGCATCAGTTCCAGTGAAAGGAATAAATAATTTAGGAAATACGTGCTTTTTTAATGCTGTCATGCAGGTAAGAGGGAAAGATCATACATCTTTCTCTTAATAGATTTCAGAATACTTAATGTGTATAAACGGTGGGTTTCAGAAGTTCTGACTGTTACCAGTCTCCATTCTGCTTTCCGAAGGTCCTTCTTAAATTCTTTGTACACCTTGTTATCCAAGCAACATTTCCTGTTATAACGAAAAAGAACGCCTGGATCGGTAACATTTTTCACAGTAATGAGTCAAATGAAAATGTCAAGTGTTTTACACGCTGCATATGTGTGTAGGTTGTACTCTAGCATATGGTTTTATTTGCAGTTCAGCATGAGGCAGTCATGAGTAATGCCCAGTATTTACCATACTGGTAGGTGTGGAAAGTGGTATCTTACGCATAACGGAAACGCCTGCGTGTTGCACTGTGGTGATTTTAAGCCCCTGAAATGCAGTTAGAAAAGTACTTCTGTTGACTATGGTTTTTTTTTTTTTTCCTGACCAGAATAAGAGAAATGAGCTATACTGATACACTTTCATTGATGTTGAGTGTACAACTAATCTAACGTCCTCAAAAAGAGCAGTAGCCTTAGCAGGCTTTATATGGGACCATCCTATTGCTTGCCAGTTGAGCAGAGACATCTCTATGTCTGCAGACAGGAGTGAACAAATCAGAGAAAACTGCTACAAAGGTGTTCTGGGCTGGTACTCTTTATCTTGTGTTTAGGATGGTGATTACAAAACTCAGCAAAAAAATAGTAAATTTTAAAGTAGAATTATTGCAAATTGTTCTCTGTCGGTGCTTAGGGCGTTGTAGAAACCTAAGTGGTCTGCAGTCAAAGTTACCCAAAACAAAGCTGAGATGTGCTGAGTTGGTTTCTCTCTTAAATTCGGAGAGGTAATGCTTTTCGGTGCGCCAAAGCCTTTGTGTTTCTTGGGGTGAGATGAGGGGTACTGCAAATTTTAAAAGCAGCCTACTAATGTTCTCACCATAAAAAAGTCCCCAAACAAAAAACAACCAAGCCCCACCAAATCTTGTTCAACAAAAGTAAAAAAATGATTACAAGGAAACTGTTTTGGAATTAAAGAAGCAGATGTAGATGGAATTCTAGAAACAGTCTGAGATCAATAATCTTGGCTCTTGCAAGGGTGGTACCTGCTTTTTCTAGTGATCTGAATTAAACCTCATCTACACATTATGAAATATATCTGGTTTTGTCTGACCTTGAGGCTAGAATTTGTAACTAAAAAAAAAATGTATAGTTGAAAGATCAACGTGTGTTTCTTGTTTGTTTTTTTTAAGAACTTGGCACAGACTCACATACTAAATGAACTGATGTATGAGATGAAGGAGAAAGGAACGAAGTTAAAAATCTGTCATACTTCAGACTCCCAATTAGTAAGTATGCAGTGAGAAATAAAATTTGTGTATATGTAGGAAGGAGATGGAAGATGGGAAATGACATCTCTGGTAAAGACACATTCTTATTTTCTTGTTTCTTTTGCCTTTTAATTGTTTAGCCAGTTTATCATACCCGTGAACTCACTCCTTTTCTAAAACCAAGTGTTCAGGAGTAGGAGCAATAACCACTTCCTTTCACATTTTGTAACACTGAAGTAGCAAATAATGCCTAACCTGAAGCAAGAGTGGCTGGCTTGTTTTTGTTTCCTGTTTAATTTCTTCAGTATGAATGTATGGTACAGGAAATATTGCATATTTCATATACATAGTATACAGATGTATAGTATATTTGGCTCTAGAAATTGTCCATGAAATATTTTATTACAGTCTGTTCCAGCCCATCATTGATAAGGTTTATAAGATTTATTACATGCTCTATGGGCCAGAGGATTAAACCGAGAGCCCCAAAATTTCAGTGAGCACCAAATTTCTTGTCCTGAATCTCATTGCAGGCACATGGGGAATAGATCTCTGTAGTTATTAGAAAAATAGGTGCTGCTGTTCCCAGCCATGTCTTGGAGACTTGGGTTATCATAATACGTTGTTGGCAATGTTAGTCTTTTTGGTTTTACTTTTTTCTTTTTTTGTTCTTCTGTTTGCTTGGAGCTTTCTGGTGGCAGTGAGGGTTGAGGGGTAAGATACTGTTTCAGATACATCTGAAATGATTGAAGATTTCTGTGTGTTGCTGTTGGTGATGTTCATAGCTTCTCCAGGCAAAGAACAGTGTGAAATTCATTGCACTGCTGTCTGTTTTTCTTCCAGTGGCAGTTTTGAGCAGCAACATGTTTTATTAAGTTATCCTGAGCCACAACAGAGGTCTGGAGCTTGTTTGTGCCTGGAGGCTTAGAAAGCCTGTGGTAGGTTGGCTTATGCTTGATGTGAAACTTGCACAGCCGTAGGTTGAAAGGTTTGGTTTTTGTTTAATGGCAATGCTTACAATGTCAGTAAGATCTTTGGAGCACAGACTGAGTTTTCTGGTCTTTGTGTGTCCAGACATACAATTAGAGGCGTGCAGTATTCTACCATAGTGGTATAGAAAATCCCAGCTTCCTGCTTGGTAAAGACCATTTTTCCACCTTTTGACAGTATATGTAATACAAATACTTTACATTTGTGTATATCTGGTGCTTATGATTTGTGTGGATCTGCTTTCTGGCTCAGGCAGCTGCTCCAGCTGTTTATCAGGCAGCTGTAATCTGCTTTTGTGAGCATCAGGCCAGCTAGTAGGGAGCACTGTGGTCATGGGTGAACCTTGGAGTGTGTTAGGGAGATCTGGCCGTAGAGATTTGTGGCCATTGAGGCACACATGGCATGTAAGCAGTGCAGGAGAGTCTCCTGCTCCAAGACTGGCTTGGCTGGCTGCTGGTTGGCTTCTTTGAGCCCCAGGACCTGGTGTCTCGGGCGAGTCTCACAGCAGGAGGGGCTGTGTGAGGTGTACCCTGCGCCTGTCCCCTGCCACCGTGTGAGGCTAGTAGGGTCTGCTGTCAGTCCCTGCTGCTGCCTCCCTGGTGCCCAGTTCCTGGAGGGACAGGGTCTGTTTCTGTGGCTGTCAGAGGGGTGGGAATTGCAGTGTGCTGCTCATGGGGCAGAGGAGCTGGCCACCTCTTTCCTAGGGCTGTTTAGATGGAGTGCCACTGAGTTCTGACTAATGGTGGCCCACAGAGGAGGTCACCGACGTTGTTTCTCCAGCTGAACTTCAGTGCACACGGGAGTAAGGGCAAATAAAGCAGGTAGTACTGGAGGTGGTCTGGTTGTGAGAATCAGACTGGCTCGTTTACATGCCTCTTTCCAAAACTATTGATTAACAACCAGTTTGCTGAACAAGAATTGTTTGGGTTTTCAACTGTTACTGATGATAAGGAATAAGCTTTCCCTTCAGCTATTTCAATCACTTAGGTGACATCAACATTTAAAAAAACCAACCCAAAATGCTGTAAGACTGAAAGTTACATTGTTCTTTGTCATAACTGTACTAACTTGGGATAAGTCGTGTGTGACACTAACTTTGAAACCTGATGTGCAATTTACCTTTGCTTTGAAGGATCCTTTGGTGGTAAACCTCTCCAGCCCAGGACCCTTGACTTCAGCGATGTTCTTGTTCCTTCACAGCATGAGGGAGGCTGGAAAAGGTCCTCTTTCTCCCAAAGTGCTATTCAGCCAGCTTTGTCAAAAGTATGTATTGCCGGTATCTTTTACGTATTAATTTATTTTTAATTTCCAGTGATGTGTTTCTAAGTGTGCCATGTCTGTTGTCCTCTCTAAGGTGCCATTAGATTTTTACTGAGCAGTCCAGAAAATGTCATCTTTATGTTTTAAAGTTGTGCTCCAGGGTTGTACCTGTGTACCTGCTCTTCATGATGAACTTTGAATGGGCTTTGAATCGAGTGTGAGGAGGCAGGAGAGGGCATGGTAAAACTGCAGAAGATAGAATTACCATTCAAGTTTTGTTGTATGTTAGCATAAAGCTGTGCTAATGCTGCAAAATGTATGTAGGTATTTTGAAAAAAAGGATAAGGGTTTAAATGGGAAACCTCTGCTATGATGTCTGACCTTGGCAACAATTCAAAATTAAAAAGGGCCTAACAAGTGAGGACTTGAAGCAGTACTGAAATGGCATATGGTTCCAGATTGCAAAGAGCTTACAAGCCCTAAAGAAACTCCTGTTTCTTGGCGTGGAAAATGTTTACAGTGGTGCTTTTTAGGTGCCTTCAATTATGATGCAAACAAACTTGCTTTTTAAAACACCTGTGGAAGACCTATTTAAAAGTTGATACAAATATTTAAATATTGACTTTACAAGTAAAAGAAACTGTAGAAGCAGAGTAACTGGAGGATGATATAGCTGAGGATTACATTTGAAAAGATTAATAGTGCATGCTAATTTATTTGCTACAGTATTATTGTGTGGAATTTAGTATTATTGTGTGGAATTTTAAGCATTCTGCAGCAAGAGAGTTAGGTGGAAAGTTGCAGCCTCCTACCATGGTGTTCCAGGGCAACCTCACTGTGCAAGCACGGCTTTAAAGTATCATGTATGCATAGATTGTAAGAAAATTTGGTTGAGAAATGGAAGGGAAATGATTGAATAAGAATAGTAGTTTTTTTCTCTGTAAGTATTAAGGACAAAAGAGAAAAGATGAGGTAAAACGTGTTTTGAAGTCCACTGTACCAATCCCATTGTAAAATAATTGTAAAATAATCACTATGCAGTGCACTTCAACAGCACTGTATTTTTGGAGTGTTAGCTATTTTGTATCTGCTCTGTGTGTGTGTTTGTGTAGCCATCAAATGATGCATGGACAGTATGTAGGTATTAAAGCTCAGCTATCTAGCTGTTCTTTTCTTTGTTTGTTTTTGATCTTTAAGATGGGCATGTACTTTTACCTGCTAAGATGGCAACATATTTTCATGTGGGTAACAGACCTGTGCTATTTAGACATGTGTCTATCAGCTTCTGTGGTCTCTTGCCTTCATCCCTACTTTTTATTCCTGTCAGCCTTGCAGAACACAACTTAGATGTAAATCCTTTACTAGCTCTGTTATCAAGAACAAAACTCTCAGCCACATCCTCTTAGCAAGGAATGAGGTGTTCAGGGACAGTAAGTGGCTGCATGAGCATGACAGAGGTCTTGGTCTTTTGATTATTTTGTTATTGATGGTGATGTAAGCAAGAAAGAGGAAGGGGAGAATTTCAGCAAGTTCATCAGTCTGCAGTGGTGGAAGCTGTATACATTTACTATATATTAATGTGAACAGTATGAATGTAGTGTTCTGCTGTGTTATTTTTACAACTTTTTTTTCATCTTTTAAAGTTGGCTTTCTACTGTTTAGGAAAGCTGAAATGAAAGAGGGAGCGTGGCAAGATTTCAGGAGTCCCAGCCTGGAATAAGTCTGTGTTGCTGCAGCTTTCCCCATAAATGGGTTTTTGAATCCTGCCATGAAGTTGTGTTAATAAAGTAACCTTAAAGGCATGCACTACTTCAGGTAGCTTGTTTGAACTTTAATTGTTCAGTAAAGTATCTTTCCTAAAGAGATGACAGGATGAGAACTACACAGAAAAAAAAAAACATTTGTATTTCAGAGAGAAATGTCAGAGAAAGACAAGTCAGTTAACTGCTGGGGAGAGGGCCATGGGGAAGGACTTCTAATAATAATGGTTTGGTGTTATGTATTTTACATAAAAGTTTGCTGACTCCAGTTGTATCCTTGGGTGGTTGGGTGTTGTTTTTTAATTTTTCCTTCCCTGTCACAGGTCGTGCTGTCTCAATCCTAGTCTACAGTATATCACCGTAACTTTCTTCAGTAGAGAATCTATGAAGCAGAGTGTACTGATAGTATAGGATGTACTTGTCTCTGACATCAAGAGTTTGACTCGGTGATCCAGGAATTGTCTTACCAGACTCAGTCTTTACCATAATACTATTTAGAATAGTTGCATGTAGCTGGCAAAACAGGGACAGGCACACTGAGTGGTCATACAGAATGTAGATGTTTTACTTAATACTTGGTATAGTCACTTTCAAATTCTACTAGGCTTCTTGCAAACATGGATGGTTAGAACGATGAAGCTGTTAGCAGGTGATTGTGTGCTGCTGTTCTTCATATACTTTGATCTGTCTACTTGTTAGGACGGATAGTATGCTCTCTAGCCAAAAAAAAACAGTACAGCAATTTCCTGATCACATTTTTCTCATGTGTAGCAGAAGGCTGTTCCTTTTCCCAGATTACATCATTGGAATATCTATATAAAAATGTATATAATTTTTTATTAGGTTTGTATTGATGAGTTTGGGTGATTTTTTTTTTTTTTTTTAATCTCCTAGCTGAATGGTGACATATTTTCATGTTGGATCAGTTGATGCAAGGGGTAGTAAAGGTAGCTGTGTAGTTTAACACCTGACACTTGCCCTCATTTCCAGTTCGATGCTGGAATAACACTTCTGAGTTTCACATCCAGTGTTCTGCTTGTAGGACAACCTCAGATGTTGCAGTATGCAAGAGTTTGAATGCTGACATCTGAACTGGGCATCCTTACTCAAAAATTGAGAAGTGCTCAGTGAAAGGAGACCTAAGCAGACAGGCAAGGAAGGAAGAGCTAAAGATGAGTGGGTGAAGGTATGTAGGAATGAGGTTAGGTGAGGGCAGAAAGCCCGTAAAGAAAGGGAGCAGGTCTTGTGCTGTTCATTCAGCTGCAGCTCTGTGGGGGCACTGGTGGGGGGTCCCAAAACCTGGGAGCTCTGAAAGTGGATGGGTGTTTGCAGCTCCAAAGCAGCAGGAGAACTGGGACACAGTCCTTTCAGCTGTGAACTGCTTCTTTAAGATTCTGGGGAGATGGTGATGTGAAGTTCATCGCCTTGTGTACGAAAGGTTATTTGTGGTGCTTTTTTTTATTAAATAACAAAATAAAAAAATTGTTATACAGAGTGTTAATTTTATCAAGTGGTGGGGTAGCCAGGTTGAAGAGGGGGAGAGGAAGAAAAGAAATGGATGGGTCTTTCTATAGCAACTGTTTAGCGTCTGGTACTAATTCATCCACTGTTAATTTTGTTAGTGCTGCAGCTGTCAGATGTTTTGCGAGGACAGATTGTGAGCATAGCTACGGGGCCCTTCTGTTGGTTTTCCACTATGCTGAATATCAGGACTGCAGACTTCTGACTTATCTGGAGACTTACTGACTAATGCAACACTGATGTATTAAGAGGACATAAAATTTATTTCCTTTATTTGTTATGATTGAATAATTTTATTGGTGGAAGAAAGGTTAGTTTTGTGTAGCAATTAAGTGTGGCAGCATGCGAATCCAGAAAGTAGTTACAGGATTTAGCTGCTTCAAACTTCCACGAAGTGCTTATTTATAGGGGTATTATATTGCTACATTAACGTGCAGGAAAAAATATGTGCCTGCCAAAAATTTTATTGCTGGTAACAAAATATACATAGGTCTCCTCTCCTCAGGGAGTATTCACGTTTCCTTCTCCGATGCAGAAGGTAGAACTCAAGACAGTTGGAGGACTGACCGAAGGAGGTCATGTGCAGTTAGGACTACTCATTAGTTTTGGAGGGAAATGTAAACAATGCTGGGAGCATTCTGCATTTATCACTTGTGAGAGGAAATGCTCAGGGAAACTGAGGTAAAGTTGTACAAGATTTAAAGGGTGAAAGAAACGGGATTTTTCTCATTAATTAGGAATCTTCTTGAGAGTTTTCTTTTAAAATAAAATTGCTGTAGAGAAAAATCTGTCTAGAAAAGATTTCCAACTTGTTTCTTTTTCCCAGTTGACTTCTGCCTTTTAAAGGTAGTATCAGCATAACACAGAGCTGATGTTTCCTGACCAATTGTGAAGAATCATTTTGGGTCTCCGTCATGCCTCTCTGTGACTTGCTGACGGTACTGTGTCATGTTCAGGAGCTCTCTGATAGAGGAGATAGAATCTTCTTCTCTGTGCAGCAGCAGCTGAGAAGAGTGCACATCTTTATTTCAGTTAACTTTGTCAGAGTTTCCTTAATTTTAGGAAAGGTAACAAAGCTGGATGGGTGAGGTTTATGAGTGCAAAGCAGATTAATTGCAAATATACAAGTAGTGTGCATTGGCAGGAATCATCTGCACTTGTTCCTGAGTTTCGTGGTCACTTCTTCCACTTGGGAGGAAGCCCTGTGCGGCATTTTGGACAGCACAAGTGTTTGCAGTGTGTGTGGTATTGGTGAGCTATGTAAGCAATGCTTGTAGATACAATGGAGAAAATCAATAATTTAATTAGGTACATTGGAGACATCTCCTCAGTAGCAATGTTCGTGTTAACAAGAATAGAGGATTAAAGGATAAGGCCAGTTTGGAGCTTTAGGGAGAGGTTACAAAAATAGGAAGCCTTTATGTCAAGAGAAACTTGAATATTGGGTGTTTAAGTGGAAGAAACATGAAAAGGAAGCATGGCAACAAGAAAAGACAATAAATGATAGAAGATAAATGAGGTGTGCTCTTTATAAGATCACAGTGAGTTCAAGGAGCTGTCCGTGAAACTGAAAGGCAACAGATTTAGAGCCAGGGGAAAGAAAAGGATTTTTTTTGACATTTTATAAAATAAGCTGTAGGACTTGCTGTTGAAAATCCTAGCAGGACTTAAGGGCAGAAAGAAGAATTAGATAAAATTATAAAGAGAAAACTTTGTAAGAGT